ATATTTATATTATTTGGAGAGAATAATGATAATGAAAGCAGCAGAGTAGAGAGCAATAATTAAGCAAGCATACAGAAGGGCGACACAGTTATAGCCAGCTATGTTCAATCAGAAACCCTATTTATGGGATTAGCTGTTTTGTTGCTTCTTTGATTTCTTTTATAAATATAGTAGGCCAAAGTAAAGCTAATATCATAACAATCATTATATTTTATTATTTCTTTTGGTTTAGTTGTTTAATTAATTTTTTTATTAAAAACAATTTATTTTTGGATAAAATTCTATTGCAATAAATAATTATGATATGCAAAACTAGTTTGGTTCTTCCTTCTCTTTCTAAGATAGTCATTGATATATGTCGATGTTAAATTGTGAAGTCGTTTCTTTTTGTTGAAAAATCATTTGATTTCGGTTTCTACAATTTTGTTTCGTTTGAATAGGTTGAAAAGTCATTTGATTTTGAGATGTTTAGGTTGAAAAACCATTCCATTTTTTTTAGTGTTAAAAAACTAAACTCAAAATTCATTTTCTATAATAATTTAGCCCTAGAGTGAAACTAAAATCAAATGTTTTTCAATCTAAAAAGACAAACTAAATCGAAGGAACCGAAACCAAATGATTTTTCAAAAAAAAAAAAAAACAACAAACAAACTTTGCAATATGACATTGTCATATATTGATATAGATGTATGTATATAGTCGTAAAAATATTATAAAGTTTAAGTGACTATTTATATATAAATTAAAATTGGATCTTTAAACAAGAAAAATATCAAAATATAAAGTTTTTTTTTATTTTGTTAACCCTCGAAATTAGTTTATGTTTTTGAAATTTTGTTTTAGGTTCTTGTTTGCCAATAAAATACATCAGAAACTAGCTTTTTAAAAAATTGTTTAAAAAGTAGGAAACCAACTTTTAGAAAACAAATAATGTTTCGATAAATTACGTAATAATTTGATAAATTATTTTTAAATATTTGACATTTTTGTTTATACATTTTTTTTTTAAATAAATGTAAAAGTGTAATCTAGTTCTCAAAAGTAATAAACGGTCTAATAAATTAAAAACAAAACTGCAAAAATGGTCCCTAGTATGTATTTTTTCCGTGTTTTAGTCTAAACCTCAATTTTTTTGGATTGATGTTCCTTTTGATCATGTTTGTTTATGATTTTGATTCATTAGAAAACTTAAAAAAGTCCTTTTAACATAATTTTTATATTTTTTCTATTTATTTAAAGTTTTATTAATTAAAAATATGAAGCTCACCTATCTCTCTCTATCTATCTCATATCGTGTTCCTTAAAATATAACATACACATATCATACAATGTTCTAGATCTGAAACAAAGATGGCTAAGACCATCTCCAACCCCCATATATATATATATATATATAT